TCCATTTCTTAAGCCCGACTGGTCCATCAGGCTTCCTTGTCAGCACGTAGGCTCCGCTTTAGTTCATGCCTAATAGCCCGTCTGGTCACATTGTGTTCAGAACCAGCCGGGAGATGTCTTCTAGCTTCCAACAGGTTCACGGACCTCTCGGATATCCAGTGACTGGTGCGGTGACGACTGATAGTGCCACAGACAGATGCTCCTGCGTCGTGCATAGTGGCCGAGATCCTATTCCATTGAAGTTCAGTGTCATTAGGAAAAGACAGCGAGAGTTCGCTATGCAGTGCTTCTTGATAGGCTTGCCTGACCGAGGGCTGGGACAATTTCTCGGTTGCCAATCACGGGAGACGCTCTGTGCGCCTTCCGGTAAAGTTCATGGATAAACGACAGCGCACCAAGGCATGATCAGAGTCGACACAGGTACTCCAGTACGAGCGGCAATCCAGAATGGAACCGCGCCACCTGTAACTTATGGCTATGTGGTCAATTTGGGTCCATCGCTGGCCAGCTACAGGTGGACGCCAAGTGGCACTTCGGCGCCCACTGTGTCTAAAAGCAGTGCTAGTAAGAAACAGCTGGTGCTCCGCACACAGTTGCAGCAGACGCTCGCCGTTGTCAGTCCGTTCGGAGTTAAGTCCATACTTACCACCCAGCTGAGCTTCTGAAGAGCTCAGACGCCCTACTTGTGCGTTCATATCCCCTGCAAGTACTATACTATCTGAACTAGTAGCACTGCGTAGTAGCGTGTTCAGTTCGTGATAGAAAGTGTCCTTGACTGCATTAGAGCTGCAGTTGGTGGGAGCATAAGCAGAAATCACAAACAAACAGCGTTTTGTTTTACTTCGCGAATTCACCTTAGCTGATGTCGTCAAACGGGCTGCACATAAACGGCTGTTCACCGGAATCCAATCAACCAACGATGACTCAGCCTTGGAGCTGAGAATGATACCTACACCAGCTTGACCCGTGAGTGCCGCATCGGCGTCTCCGGATGCGTGCAACCAATAACGAGAGGATAAGTCGGGTGCAGTCAATTCAATAACCCCGTTAGGGTCAGTAATCCTAGTTTCGGACACACAACACACATCAACACCCAGTGTGTCCAAGGTGCGTGCGAGTGCAGCCTGCTGACCTGTTTGCCTTAGAGTGCGGACGTTGAATGTCGCCATGGAAACGGGACAGCGTGGCCTTATAAGGGACTTTTTCCGATAGGCGTCCGATAAGTGCTGTGGGATGGTGGTTGCAGACGGTACTACTCCAGTAGCACTTCGGTTGCTGTCAATTAAGCTATGAATTATAGGAGGAAGGTTAGTAATAGGGGCCGGGATGGGAGTAAGAGAAAAAGGTGGAAAAGAAAGAAGGGAGGCGCCAGCAGTAGCATGTTTTCGCTTATCCGCCCTGCTGTATGCAGCAGATAAGGCGACCCTTGATAATCTGCGCGACGGCCGATGCAGGATGAAGTTTATGTTTGAAGAAAATGTCATGGTTGTATGTGGGCTGGGATACTGCCATGGCGCCCAGACCTAGACAGGAGAACGATTAGGGCCCTCATCCAAAGCCTTTGGCTCAAAAGCCTATCCGCAAGGCAGCGGAGTGGCAGTGATTTAGTTTTACAGAAATGGACGCCATCCCATTTCAAACCCCCAACCTGGAGGACCAGGAGACTGAGTTTGTCTGACCTCTCGCCATTGACCAACCTGGTAGGAGTAGCTCTCAAGATGCTCGGAGGCATCACCCAGTATAGCTCAATGGGTCAATGAGGTACGCAAACCGTCGCACCACGGTTAGGTCCAGTCTCGTTGCGACGGCTTTAAATGGTGTAGGTGGGAGGGAATCCGGGCAAGCAGTACGAAAACGGTTAAAAGGGCTGTGATCGCTTTTTTTCGGACCTCGGCCTCCGATGGAGGCTCTAAAGTAACCGTCCATGGCTCGTCCTGCATCACCTGATAAGGAAGAGCTCCGGGAACAGGGGGCCAGCTGAACTAATCTTGAAAGTGTTCAGCTCAACGAGCCATACTGCGCTCCTTATTGTGTATTAGTGTACCCGCGCTGTCTCATTGTCTCACTGACACCTGATTCCTGAGGAGTGGTGCGAATCAGCTGGAAGAGCTTGCGGTAGTTGCCTACTGATCCTGCCTCCTCCATTTCTTGAACCCGACTGGTCCACCAAGCTTTCTTGTCAGCACGTAGGCTCCGCTTTAGTTCACGCCTAATAGCCCGTCTGGTCACATTGTGCTCAGAGCCAACCGGGAGGTTCCTTCTGGATTCCAACAGGTTCACCGACCTCTCGGATATCCAGTGACTGGTGCGGTGACGATTGATAGTGCCACAAGCAGATGCTTCTGCGTCGTGGATGGCTACCGAGATCCTATTCCACTGAAGCTCAGTGTTATTAGACCAAGAGCGAAAGTTCAGTACGCAGTGCGTCTTGGTAAGATTGTCTAACCGAGGGCTGAGACATTTCCTCAGTTGCCAATCAAAGGAGATGCTCGGTGCGCCTCCGGGAGAAACGACGGCATATTAAGGCGTGATCATATTCAGCGCTGTTATTCCAGTACAAACGACAATCCAGGATGGAACCACGCCATCTGTAAGTTATGACAATTTGGTCAATTTGGGTCCTTCGCTGGCTAGCTACAGGAGGACACCAAGTGGCACTTCGGCGCCCACTGTGTCTAAAAGCCGTGCTACTAAGAAACAACTGGTGCTCCGCACCCAGTTGCAGCAGATGCAGACGTCCTACTTGTGTTTTCATATCCCCTGCGAGTACTATGGTATCTGAACTAGTAGCCCTGCATAGTAGCGCGTCCAGTTCGTGACAGAATGTCTTTGGCAGCATTAAAATTGCAGTCGGTGGGAGTGTACGCGGAAATTTCAAACAGCGTTTTGCACTATTTCGTGAATCAACCTTAGCTTATGTCGTCAAACAGGCTGCACACAAACGGCTGTTCACCGGAATCCATTCAGCACGCATTCAGAACACATGGCTTCGCCAGTTGGCTGGTGTCTATGCGCTCACAGCATGGTTGCGGACGTCTGCAAAAACTCACCCGCAAGCAGCACATGCAGGAAGGTAGTCAGAGTCCACACTTCTGCTCAATATCGCACGACAATTTTCGATACAGCCTCCGGCGGTTACGGGTCGTGATGTGCTCGGTTTGCCTCCATGACTGGTGTGCGTCAGTCATTCTTTTGCGGTTACTCTCTCGAAAGTTAGTGCTCGCGACAAATGGTCGAGCATCTTCGCACAAATGTAGCGACCGTTAACTATTGTCATTAGGAAAGCTGACTATTTTTGTCGTCTAGATGTCTTGACGCCTTGTGACTGCATTTAAGTGGAAATTAGCATGCAAACGTCTATTGAGTCAGCAATGTAGGATTTAAAACTGATAAAACTGAATTTAATACAGGTCGATTAAGGTAAAGCACAAAAATTGATAGAAGACTGAGAAGCCTGAGCAGTAGCATTCTGGCCAGTATCCACTCTTCCTGCTATAGCCGATAAGCGCCGTTGATTTTCCTCTACGACGGCCAGGGCAGTATGGAGTTGTTCGAAGAGAGATTGTATGGGCATAATATTGATATCCTTCTTAGGTCTAGAGAGAAAACTAATTAGGATTCTTAACCGAAGCCCTTAGTTCAGGAACCTGACCGCGTGACAGCAGGTTTTTAGCACCGGACTAGACAGTCCATTTATGGACTAAGGAGCCAACCTCACTGACCCCTAACATAGAGGAACAGGTGACTGAGTTTGTCTGACCAGTCTAGCACCACGTAGAATAACTCACTGGATCATTGAGGTACAACTCACCCAACAACGATTTCATACCCGGCACATAATATGCTATCGTTATATTGTTGTTCTTTAGTTTTTCTACTCTGATTAGTATTTTTTACTGCGGCACAGCTGCTTTTCTCGCCCTCAGATAACCCGCGTCGATAATAATGATGGTCGGACTGTCTTTAAAATGTGTTGATTTATGCATGCAATTAATTAATTTGAGACGTAACACTTGATCTGCACGGGTACAATTGCCCTTTCGCGATATACGGTGTGTAGGTCATTTAGTTTGCAAATTGGTCCTTGATTCACACTTCGCATTTTCACTGGTGTCCATTGCACATCAATGTATGCACAGTACTACCGCTACTGATGCCGACAATGCCATGCGATTGCGATAGGTAAGGCTTTCTGTGTCTGATTGATAACCCGACGCTATCACTACTGTCCTTACCCTCGTGCCTTTGTGCAAAGCATGAATCCCTTGTAATTATGTGTATCATCACCCTTAAAATTGGTCAAACGCTTCGCTAAACCAGACGGCGTCTTGCGTAAGGAGCCGCGGGTGTCTTCTCCAGGCACCTGTAGATCGCGACTTAGTCAATATAAGCAATCGGTCTTAACCAGGAATCCGGTGCGACATGGGATTAACTCTTGTCACATGTCAACTTAGAACATTTCTACTACTTGTTCGTTGCTTTCGCCAATCAAAGATAGTACTTCACTAGCCAGCATTTCCTTAATACTCCAAAGTACACAACTATCCACCAGACTCCTCCGAGATATATGCCCCGGATCCATCTTGTATCTTGCACTTCCATTCACCGAAGCTTTTCCGTTAATCCTTTCTCGCGTCCGACTATTTCATTTTTCCTTATAAGTGGCTTGATGACCTTTGTTCATATCGCTCGAGCGTACACAGCACTTATCAGCCTGTGCTCCTATACCGGTGCATCGCGACACCGCTTTTACAGAAATAAGTAAACGAATAGTTTATTCTCTGTATTCTGAGGCACGCCTGCGTGAGCATGATCATGCCGGGTCAACCATGTACAGGACAACGATCATAAGCTGGTTGGAGAAATGGAAAACTAAGCAGGTATGTCCAGCTGAGTAGACATGGCACTAAATGTGGAAATTTTTGTTCTGATGAAAAAGGGACGCGTCAGTGTCACCTGACCAAATGTTCAAACGATTCGTCTATCTTTTTCCTCCACAGGGATTACGATAAATCGAAAGGATATCCTCCAAAACGCGACCGAATACGCGATTCCAATGGCTACGACTACGATCGCGAAGATGATCGAAGGCCTTATGGTCGTCCGGTGACTTCTGGACCAACGCGTTACTCCACAGACGACAGGGGACGTGGACCTGTATCAGGCGTTACTCCCAAGCCATCTCGAGTATTGGGGGTCTTCGGCCTTTCTCTAAGAACGGAGGAGCGTCATTTGTATGACGTAATGAGTGTGTACGGCCCTTTAGAAGATATACAAATAGTTTACGACAGCTTGACAGGTAAGCGTAAACAGACCGATCGGACAGGCCTTAACAATGCCGAGTTCTTTATTTTCTTACTTTTTTAAAGCTTCTTCGTGTTCTTATTCTAGCGGTGTTTCTACTCTATCATGGCTGGTCATACCACACTCATTGCAATTTTACGTCTTCTGCCCCCAGTTCTTTAAAGATTCCCCTATTTACTTTTAGATCACTTACTGAATTCCTACTTTTACAACTCCATTCTAGTCGCTCAACAGATCGCTACTGTTACCCCACGTTTCCTCCACTTTATTAGGTCGTTCTCGTGGTTTCGCATTTGTTTATTTCCAAAACCTTGAGGATGCCCGAGCTGCCAGATCTGCATGTGCTCGTGGTCTGGAACTACATGACCGAGTTCTTCGTGTGGATTACAGTATCACCCAGGCACCTCATCAACCCACTCCTGGTGTTTACATGGGCAAAGACAAGAGGTAAAAGTTATTGCGCTGTTTTTCACATTAGTAGACTGCCTTTTAATGCACACGACACGCTTCCCCAGCTTGCCGCTGCGCTCTGGTATTTTCAATCGCACCATTGTTTCCCTGATCCACCATGCTGAGTACTCAACTATGTGCGTTCGTGCGATTTGTATTATTTTACACTAGTTTCACAGCTATTACTGGATCGGTGGGTATGCCGCAACCCATCTGACGAACTCCTATTTTCTGCGCTGTCTGGTGACCGAGTCACCGCTCGACTTGGGTAATGCATGAGGTGCCGTCTGGTTTGTAGCTTAGCGGATCTGAAGCGCATACTAATCTTTGAGCATGTTTCTTACAGAGCATTGTTAGTGTCGGATGGCATCAACATGTTTGCGACGATGTGCGCAACCGAGTGATAGGCAATGATAGTCTGATTAGTTCTTTAAACAATTAGCAGGCTGGATCCACGCAACCCACTGCACTTAGCTCAATAGGCTACAGGACAAGGCTCGCAGTTGATGTCATTGCTCTCATCTCCTAGTCGTACTACCCGTTTGTGTCATGTCTGGTGTTGTTATCAGATAAACCTGATTAGTGGGATGTAAACCACAACGAAATCACTTCATTTACGCACCGCAGCCAGCTGTCTGTAACCTTACGTGGTATGTGGCTCAGTTTTACCCGGATCATATGGCTATTACACAGGGTCTCCTTCATCTATTATTACCTTGTACTCCTTCGGTCATTATTAATAATGACGGTGATTTCATACTTTAGCTTGGTCAAGCAGGATCGTTATACTCTATCTTTCGTCTTCAGACGCAATTCAGACCGTGGCAGGCGCTTCGGCTATTCCGACCGACGTCCGCGCAACTTTTCGTCCTATCGCCGGTCTCGATCACGTACTCGCTCTCCTCCTCGTCGTCGTATGGAAGAATCGCCATACCGCCGCAGATCACGTGTTGTGTCCAGCAGCCGATCAAGGAGTCCACCGGCTGTGTACAGCCCTGGTCACCGGGATCGCGGAGCTCCTAATTCACGCTCGAGATCGATCAATCGCATAGAGCATGCTCACGTCGACCGTTATTCTGGCCCACCCAGAGACGACCCTAGTTGGTCCGATCGTAGTATTTCACCCCGATGAATAGAATAAAGACTTGAATGTTTCCGTTGCATTTTTAATAAACTTGTTTGTTGTTCTAGGTCAGCTTAGTTTTTCATCAGCTTATCGGGTTCTACACCAGTTTTTATTCAAAGATTTCCGCAATCGCTTGTTTACTGCCCTCGGGTTTTAAGGAGACCGTAACCACACAACGCACGCATTAGTCCTCTATTCACTGTCGTATTCATTTTTATCGAAACCTTAAATCTGGCAGTGTTATCCACGACCTGTCTTTTCTCCATCTTTTCGTGCTCAGTGCTTTAAGCTATTATGTGCTATTTTTTGCGTTTAACACCGTCCTGTGATGTCTCGAACCTAGCAGATGTGTATACAGCAGTCTACTTTAAAGAAACATAGGGGCAAACAGCAACCCATTTTGTATCTACCGCTGCCATTAGGCCATAGTGACCGATAGCCCGGTCTCGCGTATGCTGTGTTGCAATAACTAAGCAGTAAATGGGCGAGTTGTCCTCGGCGGTTGCACGAAACCGGAGTTGGCTATTGCTATTTCATCATTAGTGTTGTCGCACTGCGTAACGCAACGCTCGGGTTGGCCATCTCTATTTTCTCAAATCGTTATGTCTTCGGCTCCGTGCTAATATTTTCTTCGTGATGGTGCAAAAAGGTTCGGTCCGTAGGACTGTGTGACCTTGCTGCGTTGTGTTTGTTGTTCTGAGGGGCAATGTGCTTAATGACTACGACCGTTTCTGAGATCACGCTGAAGACGATAACCGGATCCGTGGCGTAGCTTAGTGAGTGAGTGACTCACCAACAAAGTCTGCGGAGACGCCCACTCCTAAATCAACTTGGAGTGAAAATATCGCCCTCAACTGATATTTGCCCACCATTCTCCATTTTGTCGAACATGATGGAATCCACGTTGTCTTCACACTGAGATGAAGCGTTACTTTTTTAAGGCTTTTATGGGTAATTTGGGTGGAGCCACTGGAACCTGACAAGCGAATTTAGGCGGCGCTCCTCAAATCAACGCAATTAACACGTCGACCGCGTCCTTAGCTCGCAACTGTTGTCGGGTTACCACACACTGTCTGACTGCATCCTCACTCCGAGTTGATTTGCTTAACCATTTTTGGTCACATTGATCGTAGTGTAACGAGTGCACTAATCTCCGACTAAAACGTAATGCAGAAAGATCAGGCGATCGCAGTATGTTCGGGGGTTTGCCGAAGCCCCCATCGGGAATCTATGCTCAGCTCTCATGATGGCTACTTGCACAACGTGAAATGCTGCCGTTACTTGTGCGGTCTTACTAACCGACTGACTGGCAAAGGAACAAATGTTCGAACACACGCTCGCCTTCCGTTAATGGCGCAAGGGTCAATTGCTTACTTCGGTTTTGCTTACCATTCTACGATAAAATCTAACTTCACCAATCAATGGATTAAGCTATACTTGCTTGGGCTGGCGAGTAAAATGCTTGGGGTGAAGGGTCTATATTTCGCTCTTATCTCCCTGGATTGTAGTCGCATGTGATGTCTGCTCATTCTAGGAGAACGTTTTCAACAGTGTTAGGCCAAGCCTCCCCGGGTTGTACGACATTGAATTCTGTCAGTTACTTTCCGTGCGGAATACCACTGTCTCGCGTTCCTTCATCCCTTTGGGAAAGTCGTACCAATCCGTAATACACACGGTGTGACAAAGTCGTCATCATCATTATACACTTTAGCTAGTGGTGGGAAACACCTCAGCTACTGTGCCGCAATACATAAAAATGGAAGAATGCACCAGGTGCAAGCCAGCTGAGCTACCGGTAACGGATGGGCATCGTTCCGGTAAGCTACCACCCGGCTACTATGCAACAAAAAAAGTTATGCAAAATTATGTAAGGCTAAATAGTGAGATCGTGGTTGGATGGGGAGGCTGAGGGTTGGATAAAGAAACTCAGCACGAACGCTACTGAGGTCGGCTTCTAGCCATATCAGCAAGTGTATCCAACCAAATGTGTTCATCGTCTTTCGGACCCCAACCAGGGAGCCGAGGTGCTCCAACCGAGGCCAGCTTCGAAGTGAGGGCCTTCAAGTATGACAAAGAACCAACTTATAGCACAATCATTCAAGATCATTTGCTCTTTAGAAAAGTGAGTGCTATATGCGTCCCAAAAGACAGCTTCCGACTGACAGACGAGTTAACACCTTCACTAGGTTACAAGGCAGTCATAATATGGAAGGTCATTTCCTGGATCGCACCGTCACCCCTCTTATAGCCCTGACATGGTGCCAGGTAGTCTTTGAATGTTTGGACATCTAAAAGAGTTTTTGTACATACTGACAAACCTTTAACAGAGCAAGCATAACGAACATTCCTGCGGGGTAATTTGAATTCAGTATATGTCGTGTATTCTCTTCAGCCGCTTACATACAATAGGTGGAAGCTTCAAACCGTTGGGAGTAATAGGTCAATATAAGAAATCGATAGTTGTGTTGCCTAGCCTGTTTTACCAAAGCAAGGTTGGCTACAAACTCAAGTTGTTTGCATAGGTTAAGCTTCAAACGCCGGATGGCGGAAGATTCGCAACACAACAACTTGGGGCTGCTCGGTCTGTTGGTTACCTAGAAAGCTTCCCGGGGATTCCGGCGCATCGAGCAGTCGAATAAGTGCCGGGCAACGGAGCTGACAGGTAATGTTGCGCCACAGAGCAAAGTTGCGCGGAACGTGTTCTGAAATCCGAGTGGACAACCTCTGTCCGGCCAATGTACATGCTACCGCAAGTACAGTTAAACTGATAAACACGTAAGACGGTGACAGTGAGACGTCCTGTCCAAATTGGATTCATGTATTGGCTTTTCGGTTCTGTGAAGCAACACAAGCTCAGCTGTATAGTAACATCTCTTAATTGCATGACGTAAGCGATAGCAGGAGCGTCCGTCATTTTCTTCCCCTTTGTAAGGTAGCGCAAGGAATACCTTAGAAGCTTCAGTTCGCTCTTCGTGTAGCCTGGTTTTCTCATACTTGCAATAAACTATTCAGGGTATCCATTTTCACGTAGGGTAGATGCCATCCCATGTACTTCTTCCCCAATCGTTTCCTCTGAACAGATACCGCGGGCTCTCACAAAAGATGCACGAACCAGGGAGCGCTTGTAGCTCATGGGGCAGTAGCTGTCGAAGTTTAGTATTGCCCCGTCCAACTCAGAGTGTGATAAATTTATCTCAGAAGCTACCCATCTGATCTTTCCAAAGCGACACTAGCGGCACATTCTCATTGCGCCTGTCTGGCGATTATGCAGCTTCAAATGCCAGCCAAGCTGGCCTCGGCATTGTTTTGAGTCCCTGGGCTGAAGCGCTGACCTGATCGATTGGATCCCAGTCAGCAGTAGAATATGCTCCGTTAGCTGGTACGTCCCATGCTTTGAAGTCGCGCGGGAATAAACGGTGCCTGCTTGTCATTGCTGCCTACGCCCCCTACAAACTGTAGCACTGATTCGTTACAGAAGAAGCACGGATACTGTGGTGCTTGCTGGTGATCCAAACGCTTAAGTCGGAAAATTGTCCTCTGATGAGCCTCATCTGGGCGGCCATCATGGTGTAGGCTCCCGTAATGATGACGGTGAGCGATTGTTACAGCTGTGTGAAGATGCTCGTTTCTTTTTCGCGAGCACTAACTTTCGACACAGCACCCGCAGAAGAGTGACTTGGCGCCAACCAGCCATGGACGCAGATCGATTATATCGCTATCAGTTACTGCTGCAGAGGTTGTCCAAAACTCCCGCACGCGCGTTTCGGTGGACGTCCACAACGTCGATGTGAACGGATTGACACCAACCAGCTGGCGAAGCCAGTTCTTCTGAATGTGTATCAAAGTACGCTGGCATCCGGGTTGAGTAAGCGCCCACTGAACACCGCCAGAGATCACTGGGTGCATATTCGTCAAACGTTAATATCAGCAGGCATGTTTTCCTGTGACAAATTAAATTGTCAAACTGGACATTGGGTCTATACACAGTCTCTGGAACTTATGGATACTCACCAACGTAATCTGGCTGAACGCGAATATAATGAGACTCGCAAAGCCGTGCTAGCCTGAAGAGAGACCGCAAAGTCTAGTGGTCTCATCATGCCTCGGAGATGGAAACAGTCGCCGCTGTTGGTAATCACCATAAGTTATCTCCTCTGTATTACAACGTGTTCATCAGCTACTGTTTCTGCTACTCACTTTCACGCGACTTCATGACACGCCAATTGTTTGTTAACAATCCTCACTTTCCGTTACCCGTTTCATGTGTTCAACAATCTGGCTGCGATTCCGGTTGCGCCGCAGGAGTTCGATCTATGGCTCTCCTTCGTCCCCGATCCTCGTTCCGTCTGGCGTGCTTCAACGTCGGACACTCATGCAGATTGGACAACAAGCCGGTCCAGCGCGCACCCTAGATTCCCTAGACATTGATGTCTGCTGCCTTTCAGAAACCCGATTGCAAGGTCCCAGCACTGTGCTTACTTGACATCCCCCACTGACCACGAAGCCAGATATCACCTGTGTCTTTCTGGAGATCTAGAAGCAGCGTCAGCGGGTTTGGCTGGCGTAGGTATAGCACTAAGTGGCAAGGCCGAGGCGGCACTACTGGACTGATTCCCGATTAACAGCCGACTATGTGCAGTTTGGCTTCGGGATTCATGTAGAACCAACAGACACCGCGAAGACAGACAAATTGTTTGTGATCTCCGTGTACGCTCCAACTGACTGCAGTGGCGACTTGGTCAAGGACGAATTCCACCGGAATCTACAACAGCTGTTGACTTGTACTAAAATGTCGTATGTCGTAACCCTTGCTGGGGATTTTAATGCACGGGTTGGCCGCCTGTTACCATACGAACGCCACCTTGGTGGTCATCACTCGCTCGATGAGAACCGCTCTGATAAAGGAGAGAGACTTCTCACATTATGCGAAGACAGTCGTCTGTTTCTTTCGTGCACTAACTTCAGGCGTACGAAGAAGCGTTCCGCAACGTGGCGTCCCCCTTCTC